CATTATGTATCAGCTCCTTCATTATCTTGGGATGCAATGCTTAAAATGACTGGAGTCGAAATCGAGCTTTTCACAGATATAACTATGCATGACTTTGTTGAAAAAGCTAAAAGAGGTGGTATTGCAATGGCGGTACATCGTTACTTTAAAGTTAATAACTCAAGAATGGGAGATGAATATAATCCGTCCCAACCTACAACATGGATCTCATATATCGATGCAAATAATCTTTATGGATGGGCCATGAGTCAATTTCTACCGATTGGAAAGTATAAGTGGAAAAAAAGCCGAATAGTTTTAAGTAATAGGAGAGATCTACAAATGAGATATCTCAAAATGATTCTCAAAACTAAAGCCGATGCCCCAAGAGGATATTTCTTAAATATCAAGTCACATTTCCCTAGCAAGTAACATGACTATTTTAATGGCCTACCTCCAGCGGTTGAGAATGTCACAATAAAAAAGAACCAGCTTAGTTCTTGTAATAATAAGTTGATAGAAGATTTGGATGGAGAACGATTCTCTAAAATAAAGAAACTAGTTCCTCATTTCGGTCCTCGAAAAAACTATGTAATCCATTATCAGGAGCTTCAATATTACATTAAATTGGAGATGGTTGTAGATGAAGTAACTGAAATACTTTTATTCGACCAAACTAATTGGCTTGCTCCATACATTGAATTCAATACTAAGTTGCGTCAAAAAGTTGAGAATGATTTTGAAAAGGACTTCTTTAAGCTTATGAATAATTCAGTATATGGCAAGACTATGAAAAATGTTCGAAAGTATTAAGATGTTAAGATTATAGCCATGAATAGTGATAATGATGAGAAGAAGTTCCGAAAAAAGGTATCTAAACCCTCATTCAAATATGCCAGACAATTATCTAATACTCTTATTGGTACTTATATGGGACAGGCATCTGTAGTTCTCAATAAACCGATTATTGTTGGTACGTCAGTCTTGAGACTTAGTAAGTTATTAATGTATCAATTCTGGTATGGATATGTGAAAGAAAAATATGGTGATAAAGTCAAGCTTGGTTATAAGGATACTGATAGAATGATATTTCAAACTGAGACTGAAGATATCTATAAGGATATGGCAGAAAGACCTGATATTTTCAATCTCAATGATTCCAAGACTCTTGGTTTATTCAAGGATGAATGTCCAGGTAAAATAATAACTGAATCGATCCATATCTGAGCCAAAACATATCATTATGTTATATCAGATGGAAGTATTAGATCGAAACATAAAAGAGTTAGTAAAGGAGGTATGGAAATAATGGCTAAAAATACATATCCTAATAATATTTCTTTTATGATCCAAGTATATCGAGATTGCCTCTTTGAAAATAAAGTATTCAATGCAAAAAATATAGAATTTCGATCTAAGAACCATGTATTATCATTGGTCGAATCTGAGAAAAAGGTCCTCTGCTCTCTTAATTCAAAGAATTAGGTACTTTTAGATAAGATTACATCTTGGGCATATGGCCATTGGAAAATTGATGCGTATAAAAATATGATTAAAGTAGGTATGTCTCCTGAGTTGGCCGAAAAAAGAGTAATAATAGCTTAGCATCATCAGACATTAGAAAACAAGTATATGGTAAATCCAAAGTTACTTATTTAGAATGTAACCAAAATTATCGAATTCGACTTATGGCAGTAAGTTAGATTTACTAATGATAATAATATCTATCAAATACAAAGATTTTTTTTCATAATATAATAAATATTCAATACTAATCATCAATTAGAATTGTATTATCGAAATGAATAATAAAATCTATACGTTTGATATATACAATATGCATACATATAACTCACTTACACTTCCGGATATCTATCATAAATATTTTTTCATATATACTCACAACTGCTTTCAACAATGTTAGCATATAATCGAGATTTTTTAGAAAAAATTTATTATATTCCTACATATATTTATGTGCTTATTAAAGTACTAAGAAAATTCAGATCCACAAAAGAAATTTATGGGCAATGTATTAAATGTGGATATTGGTATAGAGGATCAATTAGTGTATTTCGGATACATCAAAAATATTGTCCCAGAAGGTGACCATATAGTGAGAAACAAACTATATTAATTATTCAGCGAGTATTTTGTTTATGGCATCAAAAACGAATAGATTCAGCTAAAGTAATTCAGCATGCAGTAATTAAATGGCTTTATCAACCTGATGGATTATTTATGAAGCAAGCTAAAGATCGATATTACCAACGGGATGAACTGAATAGGTGATATAATGAGCCTTGAGGGAGCAATGACATGTGTCTAATTTTTTGTTTAACAAATTTTATTTATCAAATATAGGAAAGCAAGTCGGCCTACCCATCTATCATATTTAATTTTTTCGGTTAGCTCCATTGATTATCTATTAAATAAAAATTCTAAGTTAAAAAAATTCACATGTTTAGTGACAATACAATGACAGAATATAGTTAAAATTTTATAGAACAGATTTATACTATTCCTTCGTATATTTATATGACTAATAATGTGTTAAAAAAATATATATCTCCACAAATTTCTTATGGACGATATGCTAAATGTCGTCATTGGTATAAAGGATCAGTTGTTACCTATTTGAGACATCAACAATATTGTTATCGATATTTAAAAAAACAAGCAGTGTTAACTATTCAGCGAGCAGTAATTAAATGGCTTTATCGACCCGATGGTTCATTTATGAAGCAAGCCAAAGATCAATATTATCAAAATGCAAATAAGTTAAGTTAAAAAATACTAATTTCGTTTCAACTGCATTAATATCAGATTTTTTTAGCTGGATATATTTTTTGTATAATATATATTAGCAGAGTTATTTTACAGTACCGATCAAAATAATAGAAAATTTTAATGATCATGCAGAACGAAAAGTGAAAAATGAGTTTAAATATCTCAAAGATTCCATTATAGATCTGGAATACGGAATGCGTATGTTCCATAAAAAGCTAGAGAATATTGTCGATCAATATCAGTATATATATTCAGATAATTATGATTATAATAGCAATATTTCAAATTCTGAAACTGAATTATCTGATGATATGAAAATGCATAGATGTATTCCAAAAGATAAGCTGGCAAAAAAATACATGAGTCTAAAGACCTTGGTCCAGTCTATTCTATGACTAAAAAGAAGCGAAATAAGAAAAAGCATAGTATATAAAAATAAGTAAAGGTTAATATGTAATCCTGATTATTCGATTTTTGCATATCTTGTCATATCCAAAATTTGAATTGAAAAAGTAGTAAATATAGGTACTATGGCTAAGTCTCAAAATAATAAGCGTAAAACGATAAGTAAGTTTACCGATAATTCCTCCCAGTATATAAAGTTGCATAATCCTCATAAATATGAGCACACATACGATCTAAAAAATAATTTTGTTATAGTCAAGAATATATGTAAAGATAGTGTAGTGGGAGTGTTCGATTATTCTGAACTATATGTATATTTGAAAATGCACCACCCGACGCTTCTATAATTTCATTTTGTAGTAAGATATTCAAACCACATCCTTGTGTTGTAACTTCGATCATAATAATCACGTATTACGATCATGGGTTAACTTTATTTTGGAAAAAATGATAGAATTGATCACAGGTTAGATCCACATATTTTTGTGCAACCTAATTTCTATATAAAAGTTTGTGAAATATTCTATAAATAATTGTTATACGTATTTTTTCATTTTATTTTAGCCTGGAAATACTTCTATACCACATATGCTTTGCGATAAGAACATGCGAAATGAAATTTAAAAAGGACATAAGGATAAAGAGCCCGTTGATTTCTATTAGCGCTGTTAACAGAAAATGGTAATTATGGAACTTTGAAAACTCCGCAATTCTGAGATCTTCGTTGTGTTAACCAACTTCGTTGCGATCGTTGAGCTAAAGAGGTTTCATTCATGTGTCTATGGCATAATTCTCTGCATATTCACACACTTTGGCATTAATTGCATATGATAACACTTGCTAGAAGACTGAATTATAACAGGTTTGAGGATCTCACCATTGTTAAGAATCAGAGATTTGGTTGATAGAGAACAAAATTACTAATATGGCAAATCTCTCTAACGAGCTTCAGATTGTATGAATCAGTATAAATAAGCAAGTTTTGCGAGACTTTGCCCCCTATCTTCCCACGAATTTTTAAAGGTACGTGTTATTCCGCCTTCTCACAAGTATATTCGAAACCAGATTTTTTTGTTATATATATGAGCGGGATAACTACATAATCTTTTTTTGAATATATGAGAAAAAAGAGTGTGGTCTATACTCACTATAGGACTTTGTATTTAGGAAACAGAAATGGCTAGCAAAAATCCTATCCCCCTCAGGTGTGGCATTCATAACGATCCGGATGGAAAAATTTTCACAGTTTGGCCATGCAAAGAAGATAAGGTTTATGTGATCAAGTTTGCTATTGGGTCTCTATTGGCGAATCTAGATTACCAAATTCTCTCCCTCAATTTTGAACTCTATGTGAATGATCCCAAGAATAAAGATCCTATGAAGACATCAGATGAAGTTTCTAAATATTTCAATAGAACCTCAGATCCAGATCAAATTCATATTCTCATAAAACCTGGGAATTAGATTTTTTATCTGTATTCATGTTATGTAATAACGATATAAATTTTATTTTATTTTTGTATCAGTTATCGCCTTCGAGACAAATAAAGCAATGAATTAATTATTTGTCGCAGACACTAACTCCATTATTACATCATTGTTGGTGACAAATTGTTATGAATTTTCAATGTGTATTTAGAACAGCATAATGCATTTATTTGAGCATTTATTTGTATATCTTATTCAGTTTACAAAAATATAAAATACATATCAGTTGAGCATCTTTCAGAGAAAATAAAATGCTTAATAGTTATAAAAAACTAATTAGCTTCTACAAGAATATGAATTGAGATTTCACTAGGTTTAGGATCAAAATAATCACTGATTTTTTTTCAGGTTCCATATTTACATATTCTCTATGTTCAATATTAATCGCACGAAGATTAAAAGAAACATTTCCATATTTAGTCAAGTAGTTATTCCAAATTTCAGTACGTAATGCACTAACGGGTTCATTCTTAGAAATACTAATTCCATTTGGCATACTTCGATACCCAAAAAATGGGCCAGTAGGAATAATAAGAAATACGAGATGGATTCTATCATAAACCATTTTTTGAAAAATATTGATTTCTTATTAGTTAGAATTCCTTTCACCATCATGAAAGATTATAGCAAATAGACCTACCGTTTTTTCTTTTTCTTCTGGTATGAATAATAGTGAAGGTGGTGTCTCGCTTTTTATACATCGTTAATCTGATCAGATAATTTAGAGTATCAATATGATGCATTTATTCTAGCTTATTTTATTCATTATTCATAATCACCCAATGTAAAGTTTTCAAATAATAAAGTGAAATTGGCAAGTTGATTCACATGTTTTAAAGTTTTTCGTGTGATCCAATTTCTCACATAAAGCTCCCATTGATTTATTTTCATGTTTTTCGTATGACTTAATTTCTCACACCCATAATCATAGCATGTGTTTTGTGACATGCAAAGTCGATCATGAGGGATTAACGTGTTACTAGTTGATCAAAGTTAATCATGCACAGATTAAGAATGAAAGAGGCGAATGCAGAATAAATATTATTTTGGATAAATTGACAGAACAAAGATTCTTTTGGTATAATTGATCACAAATGTATGGTGCTGATGATTTCAAACTATAAATAAAGTTGCAATTAATCACATTTAGCGAAGCACAAAGTACTAAAACTCACTCTTTATTGTCAAAAAATGTTTGCATTTATATAACTACGATTACGATCAAATTAAATCAAATGTGAATGATCATATTGAAATTGTTCTGATGTCTTCTATCTTTATTTGTATCAAATGTTAAACGATCCTATTGAAATTGTTCTGATGCTTTCCATCTTCATTCGTATCAAATATTAAACGATCCTATTGAAATTGTTCTGGTACCTTCTGTCTTGTAATGAATTTTCTATAAAAGATGAATTTTTTTCATTACTCAATTATCCTGCAAATTTAAAATTAATAAGCAAAACAATACAATTCATAATTTTTTGCAGTTATTTTCAAATAAAACTATTGAATTCATCACAAAAATTAATCTACTTAGCTTTGTTTGAATTAAAGTAACTTCGTTGCGATTAAATGCCCGTGCGTCCTCATGATTAATATTCACTGGTCAAAATCTGATATATCGGATACCTATCGGGCACTTATCATAGTATCTGATAGGTATCCGATATATATTTTTTGACATATATCGGGTACCTGATAAGTGTCGTCTTATTCTCTAATATTGAATACTTATCGGGAACTTATCGGTCATATATACTACATATATCAGACACCTATTTTTCAGCTATTTTTTTTATATCAATTGGGTATCCAATTTTTTTATTCAATATCGGGAACCTATCAGTAATATATTCTCCCCTCTGATAGGTGTCTGATATTTTTTTATTACACCTATCGGGTCCTCCGATACTTTTATTTATTATATCTATTGGGTACCCGATAAGTGTAGTAATTGTACTGTATTCAAATGCTTTTTCAAATAAATTATACAAATTAATAGCTTTATTTATTACTGCACAAATTTTATATAATTTTATATAATATATAT